AATTCCTTTTGTAGAGAAGGATGGTATTCAATGTTCTGTTACTCAGAAACATGTTTATGAATTGAAGTTACTTACTTCTCCATAGAGTTGAAAGTTGTGCCATTAAACTATGGAATAATTATAATTTATATGTAGTAAAAATTTGAAAATGTTAATATCTCTATGAGAAAGATGCAGTAAAAATTACATAACTTTCATAAAAATGACAGTGCTTCCTAGCTAAGAAATCCTATGCTGTGGTCAGAAAATGAGTGATAGGAAAGTAGGGCAAATGAGAAGGGCAACAAAGCTGGTGAAGGGTCTGGATGACAAGTCTTATGAAGAGCATCTGAGGGAACTGGGGAGGCTGAGGGGGAACCATATCTCTACAACTGCCTGAAAGGAGGCTGTAGCAAGATGGGAGGCACTCTCTTCTGCCATGTCTTAAGTGAAAGGATTAGAGGAAATGGCCTTAGGTTGCACCAGACAAGGTTCAGATTAGATATTAGAAAAAAAATTCCACTGGAAGAGTGGTTATGCATTGGAATAAGTGGACCAGAGAGGTGGTGGAGCCACAATCTCTGAAAGTGTTCAAGAGGCATCTGGATGTGGCACTTTTATCTTTTGGGGGTTTGTTTGGGGTTGTTTTTTTTAATTTGGCAAAAAAACAATTATGGAAAAATATGTCCAAAGATAAAAATTTAAATTAAAAACACAGGAAAAAACCCCTCTTCTCTGCTCAAATCACTGACCAGAGAGCCTTTAACTGAACACATTGGTTTTGTTTTCCATAACAGAAGAACAACAGACTCTGAAAAGAGTCAATCTCATTGTATGGTCTCATGACCAACAGACCAAAAGTACACTAAACAGTTTGGTTAGTGTTAAAAGCAAACAAACAGAACAACAAAAAGCCCTAATCTACTTATTTACTGTCCTGTATGGAATTATATCATGCAGACTTCTTCACAGAATTATTATATTTCTCCTCTTCCAACTAGAAAGCATTGTAGATTTCAATAACTGTCACTACTCTGTTAGTTATTTTAGTATTTAGTTATTACTATTATTAAGTTCAGTTCCTTAATTGTTTTAGTAGCTTTTTTGCACTCTTCACTCCAAATTCACCTCCTAGAATGTGGGTAAAATTTGCACACAGTATTGCAGATGGCCTTATATCGTGCCTCTGATTCTTCACAAATCTTGTTACAAGCGTCTTTGTTGATAAAGTCTAGGATTGCATTTGTATTGCTTAGTTTCCTTTAACCTGGAGTTTTGTTTTTGATTCTTTGCAACTGGTAAGGTCCTCACCTTGCAGTAAAACTTTATTTTTCATCTCAGTCTTATTACTTAAGAAGATCTGTGGGGTTTTTTTTCTGCATACTATTCCTCCTGTTTGTATTTGCATTTCTCTGCTTCATGTTATCATTAAATTTTATCAGTACATTCCTATTTTTGCACTGGTATAGTTCATAAGAATACTGAAAAGAACACTAATAAGCAAATACTTCCAGTCTCACCTTGACTTTATGGCTTGCATTTCTACCTAAGTCAATGTCATTTTCTTTGCAATCTCTAAAGACATTTCAATGTAACCCTACTTTCTGGTTTAATATTGTATCATAGGCTTTGTAGAAATCCAGATGGACTAAACCTTTTAAATAGCATCATTCATAGTATTGTGTTAAATATAGTCTTTTATATTTGATATTCAGCTGTTCATTGTACTTCTAAGCCACTCAGGACAGATTTACAGGGGTGTATAGGCTTTCCAAGGTCTTATTTTTTATGTCTTTCATTTCCTAATAGACTCTACAGCTATGAATAGAATACTCTAAATCTCAAAACTATCTGCATGACATTATTAAATATCCTGAAAGAGAAGACCTGTGTACATGACTCTGTACCCCACTTGCTAGAACGGGTTAGATTCCTGGTTATGCCTGGTAGACATAGCCTGCCTGACTCCAAACCTGATTCCATGATTTTATAAAAGGATTATTAAAGCCATTTATGTAGTGATGTCCAAGCCACCAATATACACAGTAACATTTGTATATGCCCTTCTCAGTGAACACTATAGAACAACTTCTATAGAGACATAATGAGAAAATCATTTAAGCTGATTGTTATAGGATTCACTTGGAAGCTGAATTTTAAAAACCCTCAAGTGCCATTAGTCAGAGGATGAAGATCAATCAGTCCCACTACTCTTTCTCTGTACATTTTATGTGGGATCTACTTGGTAAATGTATTAAAGAACCTACCAAGCAGGACCTTGCAAGCTAGATAGGCAGACAGATGCCTCAGTTATAGGTTCCAATGGGATCTAGGTACTGAGGTGTAAGATGCAATCTAGATATGATTGTCCTAAGAATAAGGCATCAAATGTCACACAATTAATTTTTTTTTAAAACATTCCATTAATTTCTCTTGAATTAGATGGCTGCTAAGCAAAGGGTTTAAAAATTCAGGACTTTCTGGCAGGACACGTTCATATTGGAAATTATATTTCCAGGGCTAACTTTCAAATATCTTGTCTCAAAATGTTACAGCATAGCACTAAAAATAAAACACAACATGCATCCAAATCACTCACTGTCTTCATGTGTACCTTTTTCATTGGCATTACCCAGTCTCTCATACTCTCTTTGGGGGAGAAGGTGGGCATTAGCCAGGACCACTGCCTCTTTGGTGCTCAGTGACACAGTGCATTGAGAGAGAAAGAAGAGCATAAATCCTGCTGAGCTTGTCAACAGCATCTTCCTTCTGAGTCACAATACAGAACTGTAACACAGACTGGAGCTGAAAATGAAAATATTGATGACTCTTAGTATGAAAGTCCTGAAGGAGAAAGGTTTTGATATACCTAGCTTCAACATAGTAAGTCTCTGTCAAAATAGGCTTCTTTCATCTTTGAGGGGCCTCTCCTTTCCTGATGTATCACATCCCATTTCTGACGGGCCATTCCTCTGACACGGAGCACCATGCTCCAGCACTTGGAACATCTGCCACCTCTGTCACCTTGGGCCATGCTGGGCAAGGAAACTTAATGGAATTTTGAGTGTGGCAAAAAAGCCATAGAGAGTAATGTAATGACTAAAGACAAAGAACATCTTATATTTATCAGAGTTGAATTTTGCTTATTCCCTGAGTCCAAACTGCAGTGAAATAGACACCAATGGTCAAACTGACAAAAACGGTAACATTAGCTCTGCTGACTATCTGTAGCTCAAACAGTACTCAAAGACATGGCTTTCCTAGTGCCAAAATGTTTCTGCGCACTGGAAAACTCACTTAAGCACACCTAAATTATGCTTTTTATTAATTTCTGTCTACAGATTTAAATAATAGGTCACAGGCTTAAATCAGATTTTTTAAAAAAATATTCTATAAACAATGAAGAAAGAACTTTTCTTTAGCCTTCTCAAAACACAGAAGGGTTCAGTATATTGAATCAAAAGGGTTTTGAGCCTCATTTTATCCACCTTTTGGGGTTACCCATCTAGTAACCCTCCACCCAGTACAGCAAGAAGATTTAGGCTATAACTGGACTAAATCCTGGGGTCCTCATTTAGACAACTCCCAGATTCACTGAAGAGAAGTTTCTGTATCAACAACAACTTAGGCTGAATCAGGATAACAAATGTTTCCTGTATTTTCAAAGGACACAGTTACTTAGACTCTAGCCACACTCTTAATTTTTTAAAATTTATTTTATAAGGACTGAGCTCCCCGCAATAGCTTTGATGAAGGTAGAAAATAGATCTAGCAAACAGCTCTTCAATCAGAGCTTATTTCCTTTCAGTGTCAGCACAGAGTCTACAGAAGCCAGTAGCCTTCTCCACAGTGGCTTATGTTGCAACAAAGCCATATTCTTTATAAATCAAATGACTTAGCAGCAGATTCAGAAAACAGTTTTCCAGAGTGAAAAAATATTCAGCACATATTTTTTTACAAATGTCCAAGATAAATCATTGTAATAAAGCTCAGGTTTGAGAGCTAATTTTTCTACCTACCATACAGAAAGCCAGCAAACCTGAATTTTCTACTCTACCTAAAGCTATTCAGTAATACTATGACTTGGTA